GAGTCCAGGCAAAGGCCCTGGACGGGCTGCATCTGCAGAAGCTCCGCGTTTGGGCCCAGTTTTGTCGCGGGCCTGCTGAGGGGGTCTTGATGTGACGCTTGCCCTTCTGAGGGCCTGTCAGCCAGCCCACAAGACCTGGACGATCCCCCCCCATGCCTCCACTCCCCCCTCTGCAGGGCTGGTGACACCTTTCCCTCCAGGTCCCGCCAGGTGGTGCCAGGGAACCTGCCCTCCTCTGGGCACAGGCCCCCCTGGGGGGCAGGGTCCAGGCTCCTCACCCTTCAGGGCCAGCCCAGCTGGGCGCAGTGGCTGGTCCCCAGCTAAGAGGGTGGGAGTGAGCAGGCTAAGGCCAGCCTCTCCCCGGGAGGCTGATGTGTTTATGACACAGTCTCTTTTTACGGCACCTGAGAAAGCCGTCTATGGGATGCCACGACATCTCCATTTAAAACAAAGCTATTAAGGAAGCGTGAGCCCGTTTAAAGAGCCAACAGTGCCAGTGCCACCGAAGGTGTACGGTTTTGGCGAAAAGTCGTGGGTCTGGGACACCTCCCTCCAGCGCAGATCGCAGCTTTGCGAATCAGCTTGCTGGTTGGCCCAGGGCAAGTGGCTTTCCCTCTCTGTGTCACTGAGTGTTAAGTGGGAGGAGGGAACCAGAGTCAGAGGCGCAGAACTGGCCAAGAGTGGGGCAGGGAGGTCCTGGGGAGCGGGCCCTCTGCTGAAGCCCTGCCCTGCTTTACCCGGAGCCGCTGCTACTTCATCTGCACACAATTCTATTTAGAAAGTGACGCTTCACAAGTTCCCAGAGGGGATGGTCTCTTAGGACCCTGCCTTAGTGACTCCAAGGATGCTTCCTGCCGCCTTTATTCTCTGGGCCAGTGAGAAACCCAAGGAGGCCCCAGAGGGTCTCGAGGGTTAACACCGGATCACATCAGAGCCCCACCCTCCCTCCACTCAGCACCAGTCATGCTGGGAGCTGAGCAAACAGCTATTCTTGGAGCTGGCAGAAGTGACAAAGGCGCCTTTGTCCCCCTGTGGATCCTGTTGGCTGCTTCCCTCTGCAGGAAGATCCTCTTAGAATCCCCTGCAGAAACTCGAGACCCCGGGAGCAGGGGCTGTGGGCAGCTCCAGGGTCCCCCGAGGCTGCAGGGAGGGGCTCAGGATGGGGGCAGAGAAGAGTGTGGGGCAGGGAGTGTCTATGACATCCCTTTGGCTTATGGCAGAGACCTGAGAGTGGGCGGGAGGACGGGTGGGAGGACAGGCGCGGGTCCCTGGAGCCGGCCTGCATTGTCCCTGCACCTGGGATGGCTGTGCTCAGCATGTGCTTTGGGAGAAAATGAATGAATGAACCTGACCTTCTTGGCGGTCCAGGCGCGGTGTAAACAGAG